TGTGTAATAATAAAATAATGGTATAATTTGGGTCAAGGAAGCTAAGTTTTTTACTAAAAATGTTATTTACAAATACAAAGTCCTCTAATGCGCTTTTTGACACATACATGTGCGTTATACGGGTAATAAGTGCATGTGAAAATAATATATGAAATAAATAAGTTGCTAATTTGAATTCCTTGACCCCAAAAACCCCTGTTTTGATGCATAGTGTAAGCTTAATGAACATGTTGTTAATAGTTAGGTAATTTTTGCCGTTTTTAACTTAACCTGGGTCACTGTGCGCTGGAACCAACCATAGAGATACCTATAAAAAAAAAAATTAAGTCATTTTAATACATATATCAAAAGGAACCAGAAAAATTATTATGGTATTTTTTTTATTGACTTGCGTGATTTATGCCCCACCCTAATATATATATATATATATATATATATATATATATATATATATATATATATATATATATATATATATATATATATATATATATATATATATATATATATATATATATATATATATTACATTATAAAATTATAGTTATTAAATATGGTTGGTTTATAATGCCACCTAGTGTTCAGAAAATTCTGATACATGGTTGCTTCATTTAAAGCAATTTGAATTGCCCAATACTCTGAGGAAGCTCAGGAATGTCTAAACAAGCAAATCCGAAATGTAAGGTTGCATCATACAACAAAAATATCAAGAATTAACACAATGAAAGATCAGGTGCACTACCTTTTGATTAGATCGGATCCAAAAATCTCAAGCATTTCATTTGTAAAACACAGGAGTTATCAAGTTATTAAGTATTATCATTGTTGAATAAGTTATTTTTGTTATTAAGTATTATCATTGTTGAATAAGTTATTTTTGTTATTAAGTATTATCATTGTTGAATAAGTTATTATTAAATACTTTTCTATTTGTGTATCAAAGCACATGCATATTTGCTTTAATACATAAATAAACACATCAATCTTATACAGATGCATATATATTTAACATACATATATACCCATTACAGTGCCTGCATTAAAATCAAATGGAAAATACATTTTATTTTAAAATAACATTTAAAATTTTATATATATAAATTTTTTTTTACAATAAAATGACAAATCATATAAATATGATATATTATATACTATAGCTTATTTATTATAAATGTTAACTATTTTATTTATGCTTATTTTGATTGGATACCATTTTTTATTTTTCTTAGTTCTTAGATTTTGGTGTTAACAGGCTTCTGATAACTAAATTTACTCCTGCCATTAATCAAACAAAGACATGAATTCGAGTTTATTTTATCGCTGATGTTAAAATTTGCCTTTTTAATTTTAACCAGCCGATAGCTTATTGCATGGTTTACCAGAGAGAAATGAATACGGCTGCAGCTTCACACCCTTTCTTTATTTGTTAGGCTGGCATTGATGTATTAATAATACATTAGTTTCAGTTTAGTATATTTAATACTAAATGCGTGGGTTTTGCTTGTGTCTCTGTTTTTTATGACTAATTAACTCATTCTATCATCTCCCAATAAGCTCTAAACCTCAGTTTAATGGTTTTGAGGCCGGCTGGTAGTCAGGTTTTCCAAATTCTGTGGTAGCTCTCAAAGGAGCTGATTCCATCAACAGCTGTTCAGTATCAGAGTACTAAAATTGTTATGTTGGGCATGGATGGTGTCCCTGTTCGCACTTTTAGTGTGCATTGCCGAAGGCTCAATTAGAGCCCTTTTGTTACGGCTTAGGGTTTATTAATAGTAATGAGGCAATTGTTTGGACTATTAAATAGTGTACTAATTACTATATGCGCTTCGATTCAAGTTCTATAAAATATCCAAAACTGATAAAGTACCAAAAACAATAAAACACAAAACTATTGTAATCAGCAAGTTCTCTAAATCTATCATTCACTTACATTCGTGGTCTTCGAACTAACTTTTCTTCTGTTGAGTCTTATCTTTTGCAAAGTTCACTAGGCCTACTTGCTCTTTGTGAGACTTATTTGAATTTAACTGTCTCATCTTGTGATCTTAGTGTTGGTGGTTATCCTCCTTTAGTTTGTAAAGACTCCAATAATTGCATGCTTGGCCTGAGCATTTACATTCATATGAATTTGCCCATTTGTCAGGAAACTAAGTTTGAATCCCCTAACTATTCTTTTATGTTCTTTTGTTTAGCACCACTTCACTATATTGCCTTTCTCTTTGTTCTTTATTGTTAATCTTAAGACTGCACTCCTTTTGATATTATTTCTGATAAAATTAACCAAGCCCTTCTCTTTATCTTTCACTTTATCCCTCAGCCATTTAACATCATTGCTGTTAGTGACTTTAATGCTTATCACACTTAGTAAAAGACCGGGGCTAGTTTTTGACCTGTGCCAAAGTTGGGTTTATGGCTGGTGCTGTATAAATATTGGTGCATATTAATATGATATATAAAAATAAGTCAATATGCACCAATATTTATGCAGTCCCGTCTGTAGAACTGGCCTTAGCCACAGCCATATACCAGCCCCGGTTGTTTACTAATCACACTGAATAGCTTGGTTCTAGTGTCAGTGACTGCAGCAGCTAAGGTCCACAACTTTTGCCTTTCTCAATCTCTAACACACATAGTCAACATTTCAACTTGCTTTCCAGACAATTCGAATCATTTACCAGAAAATTTGAATCGTTTTATGTAATGTTTCTGATTTTAGTCTCAGTTTCTCCACATTCACCCTTAGGTGCTTCAAATCATAGTTTGATCTCTTTAAAACTGTTATCTCATTCTTCTTTATCATCAGAATCTCCGTTTAATTGTACTTTTTACAACTACCTTAAAGCTGGCTGGGACTCTTTCCATGATTTTCTTTGTGATAGCCATTGGGTAGAAATCATTCGTCTTCCTACTGACAAATGTAATTAATTTCTTTGGTTCATGCTGGCATGGAATCTTTTATTCCTTGTTGACAATTCCAAGTCGAGCCTCACTCTTTTCCATGGTTTCCTCTTATTGTTTTGCTGCAATTTCTAATCGTAACCATTATTATTATATATATTGCCATAACAGTTCTCCAGAAAATGTCTATTTACTATTGCTAGAAACCATTGTATAAAGTTTTCATCAAAGCCCGCTATTTTCAGGTCACAAAATTTTATTTTTTGTCCCTAAAGTTAGGCACCCGAGACTTCTAGTTATTCCGCCTCTCTTCAATGGTTCAGATTTTGTAAAATCACTTAAAGACTAGCTTAATTATTTGCTAAGAACTTTTCATCAATCTCGTCTCTCTATTCCACTGATCCCAACCTACCTGATATAGTGGACTACCAGATTGATCCATTGCTTAACATTCGTATCACTCCGGCTTCTGTATCTAAAGTGATTTCCTGCTTAGAATCTTCTACAACTTGTGGTACAACATACCAATTATAGACTTGCAGAAGTGTACTCTGAAGCTGTCATTTATTCTTTCAAAACTGTTTATCAAGTGATTATCAGGTTCTTGTTTTCCAGCCTGCTGAGGCATCTTTTACCCCTATTTTCAAAAATCTGGTGAATGATCTGATTAGTTTAACTACCATGCCCTTAGTCTTCTAATTATCATAAGTAAGGTTTTTGAATCTTTAATTAATATTAATGCTTAATCTCTCATCTTGAATCTAATAACTTACTTTCTGATCATCAATATGGATTTCGATCTTCTCGTTCTACAGCTGATTTGCTAACAGTAATATCCGCTAGGTTTTATCCTGCATTAGATAGATGTGAAGAGGATAAGGCCATTGCTCTTGACATTTCTAAAGCTTTTAATAAAGTTTAGCATGCTAGCCTTCTCTATAAGCCTTTTTCTTACAGTGTATCTGGTAACATCTTTAAGATTATTGAATCCTTCCTTTCCAACTGAAGTATAAAAGTTATCCTTGATGAACAGCACTCTTCTTCTTTTTATATAACTATAGGGGTTCCTCAAGGGTATATCTTTAACCCTATACTTTTTTTAATTTACATTAAAGATCTCCCAGAAATTCTCACATCAAAGGTGGCACTGTTTGCTGATGATACTACCATTTATTCTTGTCATGATAAGAAGCCAACACTCTCTGATTGCATGGAAGGGATATTTGAGCTTTAAAACGATCTCATTTCAGCTACAACATGGGGCTTTTATTAGCTGGTGAACTTTAACTCAGATAAAACTCAATCAGCTAATTGTTATCGCAACAATCTAGATCTTTCTATATTTAAGAACCGTAATGTACTCGTAACTGCTAAGTTGTGAATTTTTTTTTCTTTTAAATACCGCATATAATTGCATCATGTTTCACTATAGTTGTCAGTTTTATTTGATGATTGTTAGATACATCACAAAACTCTAGCCGTTTTCTAACATTACCTTTACTCTTATTGTTTTAAAACAAGTTATTTATCTAGACATTGTGAGCTGTTAGTCAACTTAACTCAACAAAATGTTGAGTTAAGTTGACTGATTTTGATCATACTAAAATAAATGTTTCTTTTAAATTAGACGTTTATCAATAAATATTAGGACAAACATTAACATTTATTAAAAAATCAATTTGTCACGTGTTAACTCCAAAATAGTGATTTCTTAAAAATAATCTGGAATAGTTTAGCCTTGTTTGAAGTGAATTAGTTCCTACAAAAATAAAGAAGCATATTTTGTGATCGTGTCTGACTTCTTACGCTTTATCTCTTTGAAATTTACAACTTCTAGTAGTCTTTTTTCATTCTTATCTTGTGTGTGACTGTTAAGCAAGTTTATTTAATTTTTCATGTTTATTAGCACAATTTTATCTATAACTATTAAACTTTTATTATCTTTATTAAATGATATCACATTTAATGTCAATTTTTCTGTGAAAAAATATCAATAAACATTATACTTATCTTCTATTAGAAATTTTTAGTTTAGGTCTTTATGAAATTTTTTTTTTCTTTTTTTTTTTAATCCTTATTAATTGAATGCTTTCATGTTTTAGCAACTTCAGGCAACAATACGTGATATGGAAAATATTAAAGATCAAATTGTATATGCAGATCTTGAAGAGTTTCAGAAACGAGTTGCGCCTATGCAAAATGAAACTGCTAATGCTATAAAGGAGTTTGCAAATGTTCAGAATCTTTTAATCAATGAAGTTGAGAAGTCTATTATGCAGAATAAAGGTTGCGCTTTTTTGTTTGTTTAAGTTTTTATACTTCAATATATTTATATATATATATATATATATATATATATATATATATATATATATATATATATATATATATATATATATATATATATATATATATATATAACTTGAGCTTCAGCAAGATCATCAGGAAGTTTCTTCTTCAGCAGGATCATTAGGCTTCCTGATGATCCTGCTAAAGAAAAAACTGACAGTAAAAGCTCAAGTTAGATTAGTGTTTTTTTTTAATTTATTACTGCTCTGTTCCTCAAGAACATTGAGCACTCTTTTTGTAAAATAAACAAACATAATTGACATATAATATAATTTGTAATAATATAACACAATTAATATATATATATATATATGTATATATGTATATATATATATATATATATATATATATATATATATATATATATATATATATATATATATATATTATATATATATATATATATATATATATATATATATATATATATATATATATATATATATATATATATATATATATATAGGGGCTATTCTAGACTGTTTTCGACAGTGCACAGTGGGCCAAAATCATTATTAGCTGGACAAAGTTAATAACTTTTAAAATATTTATCAGGTGTTTCACATAATTAGCACCTTGAGTATATTTCATATAAAAAATCTAACGGCACCATTAGATTGATTATTTGGTTGCCATGGATACCTTTATTTCATATCAACAGGCAATTTGCATAGTTACCTAAATAAAAAGACTTTCTCAAATTATCAAAGTTATAAACTAAACAGATATTAATGCTACATTGCTATGTTATGTATTTGAATGATAACACAAACAAAAAATTATCAATTTTTGGTGTTGCTATGCTGTTATGGGCTCTTAGAAACCAGTTGGTAATTTTTTTTGAAACTTTCTAAATTCAAAATTTCTTTAAAAAATAAAATAAAAACTTTTAAAACACTCTTAACTATAAAGGTTTACAGGAATAGTTAATTAAATTTTAACTGTGTAGTTTAGATACCCTTAGCAACCATATAAAAATAAGCAAGTTTTTATACAATTAGAGCAAAAAACTTTATAACGAATATAAAAGAAAACAAACTTTTATATTTATTATTTTATTATGTAAATATTAGATACTTATAAAGTAAACATCTTAAACACCAACGAAAATCAAAACTATGTAATTGACACTAAGTCAAAAATTGGAGAGAGTGTTTTTCTTAGGATGATGGGGTTTTCTCAAACTACTTATCTAAGGGTCAGAAGAACACATTAGTCGCCTTAATAAATCTTCATTTGTTTTGGAACACAAACACTTTCTGGAAAATGATTCTCGAAATTTCTTAAAGTTTTTATTTTGAGCTTCTTGTGCCTCTTCGCTGAGCATGCCAATAGGCAAAGCCATCTCTCTACAACTTGCCAACCATGGTTAAGAATGCGATGTAGACTCTGTGGTGTATGATACCATGGATAAAGGATTACATACTTCTCAGCTGTTTTGTAGCAGTATTCTCTAAATAGTGAAGAATTAGAAAGTTAAATGACAATGGACTGCATCGAAAAACAGAACAACACTGAGAAGATGTAGTTGCTGTAGATAATGCTGTAGCAACTTTGCCATCCACTATCGTTATTTCAATTTTGAAGTATTGTTAAGTTTTCGCAAAATGTTAAAGACAAATTTGCATTTGAATTGTTAATAAACTGATTCTCTTGTTTCAAAACTTCAATAGATAAACTTCGAACTACTTTTGCATCTTTTCTTCTTCTATCTTTAAAAAGATTACAACTACTAGCATACAACAGTTCATTTGATGAACAAGTTTATAAGTCCATAGCTGCTACTTTACGAGAATCTTTGTCTTATTTGATTGAATCATCAAATAATTTTACAGGTTGACCACTAACTATAGATACAGTTTTATTATCCTGATTTTTAAATGACTTAATAAAGTCTTTTTGAAGCCATACTGAATTATGTTTCATAAAGTTTTTATCAATTCTTTTACTTAAAGACCAACGTTTACAATACTTGGACAAAAAGGTTACAAACTGAGCATCAAATTCAGAACAGTATTCACGAATAAAATTGTAAACATAAAGTTTGTCTTTTTCATTAGACATAGATAAACCATGCTGTCTTATAAATTGATGAATTTGATATTTTGTGATGGTTGACATATTACTACTAATATTATTATTAGACTAAAATAATAGAAACATTAAAAAGTTGTATTAATATATATATATATATATATATATATATATATATATATATATATATATATATATATATATATATATATATATATATATTTGTTATTTTGCGACAAAAGAAACTTGAAAAAGAAACATCTTTGATTTTATAAAGCATAAGTATTAAAAAGTATTACAAGTATTAAAAAAAAGTAGCAGATACTAGCAGCTAAATTAACAATTTTATAAAAACATATACATATAGCCTTCAAAATATGTTTAAGAGATAAAAGTAAAATAGAGCACAAATTTTTCCTTGTTGTCTTTTCAAAAAAAATTTAAAAAAAGTCCAATTTTTACCAAAAAATATATCTAAAACTGGTTTAAAATTTTTTTTTTAACTTTTTTTTTTTTATAAATTTTATCTATTAAAAATTATTTGATATGTTAATAAAAACAGTTAACCAATATACCAAAAATTTATTACACACTTTTGCTTATTTTAAAAACTACATTTTCTCCTTTTATCGCCATTTTTTTTTTGTTAAAATTTTACTTGAAATGAGTTTTTGTTGAGAATATATCTTTTTTTAATTTATTTTAATTATTTTTGAGGTCCTCAATGTATCTAAGTAAAAACTTTTTAAAAAGAATTTCAGTTTTCAGACATAAATTTTTTTTTAGTTTTGTCCACCTACTGGCCCACTGTGCAGCGTTGACCGTAATTGAGCGCCGCCCAAATTAAAATTTGAGGACTTTTTTTTTTATGTTATTTACGGCAAATTTTGTTTTTTTTTTGCGAAAAAACGTTGATTTTTCGCTAAATTTTTTCAGGACAGGGGGGTACCGCCGCCTAAATTTTTTTCCTAGAATAACCCCTGAAATATATATATATATATATATATATATATATATATATATATATATATATATATATATATATATATATATATATATATATATATTCAGGATCAGATATTCAAGTGGATAAATATAAAAGTTCTCTACTTCATGAAATCCCTCTTGTTGAAAACGACTTATCTAATGAATTACTTGCTGATCACGCAAAGGATCTATATTTACAAGGTTCTCAACAGATGCAAATTATTAGCAATGATCAGCAGATTCAAGAAATAAATGCATGTCAATCATGGGATGAATTAAGGGAGGTCAGATGTTAATAATATTAAAAAAAATTTAAATCTTTAAAAAAATAAACTTAATGCTATGATGATTAAAAAATCTTTTTTTAAAGTCCATGTAAAAAAATTATAAATAGTTTTTTGCTAACGGGTAAGTAAAATACAAAAAACATGAACCAATGAAGTAATCATGGTTTATATCTTTACTATTAGAGCTTAGTTGACTTGCACTCACTTGTACAAGATTTTGCAACAATGGTTCATGTGAGTTTTGATGTTTTGTGTGAGTCTTTTGTTTTATATATTGTTGCTTTGTTTTCAAGAAACAATGAGCAATAAATTAGTTAAAACAAATAGTTTACATTTAAAAATTGCTTTTTAAACTTTTTTGTATATATATTATATACTGCTCGAAAAGGATTTTTATTGAAGTTTCAATTTGCAGCATGTTTATTTTTCTTATTTCAATTTTTGCTATAGCAAATGTCTGGTGTTTTTTTAATTTTATTTTTATGCTTTAAGAACAGAGTCAACAAGATTCTGTAGACAGAATTGAAGATAACATTGAACGTGCGTCCGTAAATGTTCATTCTGCTGCAACATTCCTTGCACAAGTAAGTTTGGTTTTTAATTTCAAGACTTTAAAGCTTTTTTTGCTGTTGATAATATTTTGTAATTGAAAGATTTAGTTTTTACGCATATAAAAAAATTTTTTTTAATTTTTATATACTAGTATAATACTAAAATTTTCTTCAAGGAATATTTTCCCAAAGAAAAGAGGAGGCAAAAATTTTTGTTTATCTCCCACATTTTCATTTGACAAAAAATTGTATAGCTTGCTATGGAAGCTGTTTTGTATAACCAAAAAAAGCTTTTGTTTTTTAAGTTTTGATCAGTATATTTTTTTTTAATTTTGTTTTTGTAGGCGAGTAAGTATAAAGCTGTAGCTATACCGGTTGCTGGCGCGGTCATTGGGGGTATAATTGGCGGTCCAATCGGACTATTGGCAGGATTTAAACTTGCAGGAGTGGCGACAGCCGTTGGCGGTGGTTTGGCAGGCTATCAAGGCGGTAAATACTTGAAAAAAAAACATGACCAACGTGTTGAACTTGAATTGGATAATCTTAGCAAAAGAAAAAGCGATTCAATGAAATCACTAAACTCATCGAAACATGAAAACTGATCATGCAAATATAATGAGATTTATATATATATATACTATATTGTATTTTTTGTTTTGTTTTTTATATATTTTCTCTTTTGATATAAACAAAATAATTTCATTAAATTTCTAAAATTTTGAATTAATTAAAGATTTGTAAATTCAAGTTTCAATATGGATACTATGGTTACTATATTATAGTTGAATTTTCCGATTTATTTTCCGATGTAAAATTAAAATATAAAAATAAATCACATGGAAGTGTATGACCTGATGTATGATTTAATAATTTGACTGAATGTTTGCTCAGTTAACTGAATGTGTGTTCAGGTGGCTGGATATATGCTCAGTTGACTGGATGTATGCTTAGTTCATTTATGGAGAGAAGAATTTTTATTTCGCAATGTTTTTTTTTTTTTATCTAACATGATAGTATTTTATTAATAGTTTTCTATTTATATGTTACGTCTTTTATTTTGTGAAAATTTGAAATTTAAAAAGCTTAAGTTTTGATTATTAGTAATTGCAAATTTATTTCTCTTTAAAACGATATGAATAAGACTGATTTTTTAATATACTTTTTAAAAAGAGATAAAAACAGAGTTTTGGATGTAGCATGTTAATTATTGTAATAGCTTTAGTGTATAATGGTTGATGGACTTGGTTTTAGTATATGATGAATGATGGACTTGGTTTTGATGTATATTACCGTGATCCTTTAAACTGGGCTCACTTTCTTCAACGTAAAGCCGAAGCGTGTCTAAACAGTGAAAAGTACGATGAAGCTATTTCACTGCATAAAGAAGCAGCTGAGTCTTTAAGACTTTTGTTAAAAAATCTACAAAAAGACTTTCATAACGTTAATATAGCAGCATCAATTCAACTTCAAGTTAATGAACATCATAAACAGGAGGCACTTATCGAATTAAGAAAAAAGCAAAATTATGAATCAAAACTAAGACGAAAAAATTGTCTAAAACATTACGAGCCGTTTCAAGACATAACATATTCAAACTCTTCGATCGAAAGCTACGGCAGCTCAGATTATGCATCCAGTACTCACGATATAAATTCTGAAACCCGAAGGAAAGAAGATAAAAGAGACGATATCATCATCAAAAGAGACGATATCATTAACAAAATGGTTGTTGTTATAAAACAGCAACAGTTTGAAATATTATCTCTATCCAAAATTTTGCAAGAGAAGGACAAAGAAAGTCAAAAATTAAAAGATAAAATTTCGTCTTTAGAGAACCATATACTTTTAATGGACAGTAAAATAGTGAAGAACTCATAAAATTAAATTTTTTTTTTAAGAAATAAATTATTTTTAAAAAATAATTGCATACGATTTTTGATATCATTGTAATAATGTTCATACAAGCATATTTTTCAAAATATTTTGTGTAAAGAGTGCATTTCTATTAACAGTTACATTTTTTTACCCATCAGCAGATTTATTCTTTTTTTTTTTTACCCATCAACAGTTTTATTCTTCTTTTTTTACAATTCGTGAAGTTTTTGTTTTTAATTTTTATGTCTGTTACGGATTGCAGTTTAATTCCAATCTGTTTTGTGGAAGATTATCAGTATCAGGTCGGTCATTTTGCCAGGTATCATTTTTTGATTTGAATCTGTTCAGTCTTGAAAATTGACACAAGTCATTTTGTCAATATATATATTATCAATTTTTAAATTCTCGCTGCAGTTTGTAGATCTGTCAGCAAGAACACAAGTGTAGTAAAAATATAAAAGAAATACTGATTAACTCGATAAAAAAATATATATCCACTGATTGGAAAATCATTCTTTTACTTAATAATTTGTTAAGATAATTAATATACTAAAGTTAAGATAGTACATACTTAAGAATAAAATGTACAAATCAATTAAGTTTATTTATAAGCAGTTTAAAATCGGGCGGTCCATAAAATACGTCATCATTTTTAGATAACTTTGGACCTCTTTGTCACCGGTTGTCTTTTTTTCCTATACCCTCCTTAAAAAGAATGGATGGATGAAAATGATAACATTAGGAACCCGCTTCTAGGAAAAAGTGGAAACAATTCCCAATCCTTCAATAAGAGATGACGAGCATCTCTTATCGAAAGATCGGGTATTGTTTCCATAGAGGGAGTACCTCTTGCCATCTGGATTGATATAGTCAACCACGGTTAGAAACTGATCCATCATCAGACCTGAAAAGATCGAGGCACAGATCTTTCCAGCGAAATCAAAATTCTGTTTCTCCAAATGAAGATCCACCTTAAATATAAGTTAAGTCCTACCTTATATAAGTCACAATTAGGGATGTACCGGATTAGAAAATTTTGAATTCCGGCCGGAACCTGATTTGCCGGAATTGATGAAAAAAACCGACCGTAGCGATATATATATATATATATATATATATATATATATATATATATATATATATATATATATATATATATATATATATATTATATATATTATATATTATATATATGTATAGGGTAGAGTTGTCTTAATTGGAACAGCGCTTTAATTGGAACACTTGCATATATTTTTGAAAAAAAATGACTTATGGTTATATTTTGCATTTTTTTAGTAAACGCATTATTTTCTACGCTTTGAAACATTTTGAAAGTTATTCCTCAAAAAAATGCGTTTGCACCATTGATTTAAAGTTTTTTTGCGTCATTTTTTTTTCAGCGATCTAATTTTGTGTTCACACTATATTGATTGCGCTGGGTAAACTATGGTGCTATAGGTTATACCGCTTTTTGTGTTTAATTCGATGGGATTTAAAATGCAAAATAACAATATAAACTAATCTTATAAGTTGCTGCAAGCATGTTATTGTAGTGGTATAACGTAATAGTCGAAAGTTTCCTTGATTGGAACATTAAAGTTTTCCTTACCTAATCATAAAATAATCAGTAATAAAATAAAAGGGTTGTAAAAGTAGATCCAGTGCAATTAAAACTTTGGAACGACTATAAACCTTAAAATTAAAACTTTATTTAGTGATTTTTAATCAATAAGTTTAGAGAACGTCATAATAGTTGAAAGTTTATACAATTTTTTTTGTAGACTTGAAATTTATCAGGGTAATACTAATCCTATAATAAATTTTTAATTAACTCTTTAAATTTTCACTGTAAAGATGAAAATCATTTTTTACAAATTTTTGTCGATTTTACTGGATTTTTTCTTTTAAAAAAATAACCTATTCTGATGAAGGAATCAAAGTGTTCCAATTTAGGGAACCAGTTGTCTTTATTGGAACAAAATGGTAACTTTGCAAAAAAAAATTAATTTCCAATAACAGTTCAATCAATTAAGTCAAATTGTGGTTAAAAGTATGGCTGGGATGTCTGTTTGTATTAATCAAATCATAAATGTTTTCATAATTGAGCCATTACATTTTACCGACTTAAAAAAAAAAAAAAAAAAAAAAAAGGTCCTCGTTTTCCAAAGTTTGCCGACTGCCATGACGACATTTGCCCACTGTTTAGATTACCGACTAACCTATAACTAAAGTGTCGACATTTGCCGATTAACTAGTCTAAAAGGGTTCAATTTGCTGACTAAGGGTCTAATTTGCCGACTAAAAATCATAGATGGGGGGTGTCACCCCCCACACCCCCTATCGCGCCGGCCTTGACCCTATATATATATATATATATATATATATATATATATATATATATATATATATATATATATATATATATATATATATATATATATATATATATGTATATATATGTATATATTTTTTTGTTCTTTTTTACATTTTAAACAACATTCTGTTATAAATATACAAATTAAAAAATAAAATATAGAAGTTACAAGAAAATAACAAAAAAAAAATCGTAAATAAAAAATAAAAGAACGCGAGGACTCGTAGATGACCGTAAGGTCTTGTCGTCGAGAACCGCTAAAATGAACGTGATACAAACAAATTAAAAATATTCAGAAAACCCGTTATAAATATAAAGATCAGTTATATAAATACTATATAAGTTAATAAACATATAAATTGTCGTATATATTGATACATATTCTTGGTAAATATGTAAATTATAAAGTAATAATAGTTCTTTGATAAGTGGAGGTAAAATGGGAAAACTATTAAAAATTATTAAAAGTAAATTGATAGATCGTCAATTGTAAAAATTGATTCTTTTAACTTTCGTTTAAAACAGTTGTAGTTACATTGTTGGATAAAATATTGAGAAAAGTTTTTTAAGACAATTTTGTTCCATAAGAATGGTCCGCGAGAAGTAATGCAGAATTTGCTCAAGTTAGTTTGAAAAAATGGCTGCTTAATAAAATTGTTATTGCGTAAAAAGTATTTATTTTTATCTTTTGACATACACAAATCATGGAAAGAAACTGGCGAAGAATTAGTTTTACATTTGAACATAAAACAAAGAGTATTATAAACATTGAGTTGATATACATTTACGGCGTTCATTTTTTTTAATAGAGGCTTTGCATGAGTAAGACGTTCACTAAAATGTATCAAACGTGCTGCATGCTTCTGATGACGATAAAGAGGTTCAAGTTTGCTTTTATTGGTGCAAGCCCATGCAATGTTTGCATAATTTATATGGCTATGGATAAGAGAAATATAATTGAGTTAAAATTTTTTTATTAAAAAAGTTTCTTGCTTTATATAAAATTCCTAAACTTTTTGAAGTTTTGTTATATAAATTTTCAATATGATTTTTCCATGAAAGATTATCATCAATATAAACACCTAAGAATTTTGTAACGTTTACTCTAATTATTTCGATGTTATCAATAAAAAGGGATGGCATTTCATAAGGCAGTAGTTTTTTCTTAAAGGGCGGGCGAAAGAGAGTCCAGTTTGTTTTTTGAATATAAAGCGATAATTTATTTAATTTAAACCAGTAAGAAATTTTGTTTAATTCTACATTCATAAGTTGAAACAGAGTAGTGATGTTAGTATGAGATAAGAATAAGTTTGTATCGTCTGCAAACATGATTGTTTTTAATCTGGATACTTTATAGAGATCGTTGATATATATAAGAAAAAGAAGAGGACCAAGAATAGATCCTTGAGGAACACCACAAGTAATTTCTAACAAACTTATTGGAGAAGAAGCGTTAATGGTTACAAATTGTTTGCGATTACTTAAATAACTTTTTATCCACTTTAAAACATTTCCAGTTATTCCGTAATTTTTGAGTTTTTTAAAAAGAATTTTATGATCTATTGTATCAAAGGCTTTTGATAGGTCGATGAAGATGCCTAAAGTATATTCGGATTTCTTGAAAGATTCTGTGATACTACGTGTTAGCTGGAGAATCGCGTGTTCTGTAGAGTTGTTTTTTTTGAATCCATACTGGTGGTTAAATAATAAATTGTTGTTGTTAAATGAGTGTAAATTTTGTTATAAATAATTCTTTCTAAGACTTTAGAAAAGACTGGAAGAACAGAGATAGGGCGATAGTTATTGATATTTGTTAAGTCTCCTCCTTTGAATATCGGTGTGTTTTTTGCAATTTTAAATTGATCAGGAAAAATTCCTTGTCTGATTGAAAGTGAAAAAATTTTAAAAAGCACGTCTTTTATAACCTTGTATGAATTTTTTATTACATTGCTATTTATATCATCGAAGCCACTTGCTTTATTTGGTTTTAGCGCACTAAAAGCTGTTTCAAATTCTTCAAACGATAATTCCAAAAAATCAAGATTAGCTAATGCAATAGATGAGATATCAATTGTTTTCTTTATATTTGGTATATTTCTTGGTAAATTAGGTCCGATCGTGACAAAAAATTTGTTTAGTTCGATTGCTGTTTCACATGGATCATAAGAGATATCACCATTAATTTTAATGCCATTTTTCAGAGCGCATGATTTAATTTTTGTTTTACCGGTAATTTCTCTTAAAATTTGCCATGTGCGTTTTGAATCACATTCGTATCGCATAAGTAAATCGGAATAGTATTTTTTTTTAAGATTCTTTCTAATTTTTTCAAATTCTCTCGCATATTTTTTGTAGTTGGTTTTACTTTCTATCGTTTTTTCTTTAAGGTATTTAATGTATAACTTTTGTTTGACTTTTGATGATTTTCTTAGGGTGTTTGTAATCCATGGTGATTTTACACTTTTGGTTTTTAAGTTTATTTCGCGTTTCGGAAAATTTACATCATATACCTCATAGAAAGATTTAAAAAATTGGTTGTAAGTAAAGTTTACGTCAGATGAAGTGTTTATATCTTTCCAATGAAGCAATGACAGTTGTTCATGAAACGATAATAAATTAGCTTCGTTATAGATACGTTTTAAAAAGGTTGTTTTTTCATTAGGTAGTACTCTT